TCAGTGACTGATTTTACCAATCAACAAGCATTTATTAAGTGCATACTACATGATAGGTACTATAGGACAGAAGTGACAGATTCCCTGCTACACAGGAAGATGTAAAAAGATATACAAAATAAATAGAAAATTTAAAAAATATATAAAATAAATACAAGACAGTTGTAGGAATGCAGACTAGCAGCTGGGGATGGATGAGTGGATGAAGAAAGGCTTTATGAAGAAAGTGATGCTTGGCCTCAAGGAAATGAGGGATTCTAAAAGGTCAACGTGAAGAAGGAGTGAAGTCTACGCATAGAGGGCGGTCAGTGCAATGTCAAGAAGATGGAAGATACGTGAAAACAGCAAGCAGGCCAATACAGCTGGACTGGAGAGTGTGGGAAGGAGAGTAAAATAAAAGGTGGTTAGAAAAGTAGGAAGGAGTCATGTTGTTCTGAGCTTTAACGACCAAACAGTGAAGTTTATAGATCTAAGAGGTAAATGAGAGTCCCTGAAGTTTATTTAAATAGGAGACAGTAACATGGTCAGATCTACTGATCAGGAAAATCACTCTGGAAGTCATATGTGAAGGATGAACTGGAAGAGGGAGAGGTTTCAGGCAGGGAGACCAAGTAAGATGCTATTGAGGCAATGAAAGCTAAAGGTGATGAAGGTATAGATTAGGGTAATGGTTGTGTGAGTGGAGAACAAGGAAAAACATGAGATGTTGCAGTGATAGAAATGACAAGATCTGGCAAGTGGTTGGATGTCAAAGATTAGTGGGGTCAAGCATGACTCCAAAGTTGCAAATCTAGGTGACAGAAACATAATGGTACTCTCAACAGTAATAGGAAAATTCAGAAGAGGGAGAGATCTGGGGGCAAAGATGGTGAATCCTGTTTTGAACACCTTCAGTTTGAGATACCTACAAGATAAACAGTTGCAGATGCACCACTGAAGGTCAGGAGACAGACTATGGCTGGATATATAGCTCTGCAAGTCATCTGCATTGAGACAATAATTGAATCCATGGGTGTAAATAAGTTTGTTAAAAGGCCATATACAGAAAAGAGGATCCAGGAAAGAGCCTTTGGAAAACATCCAGAGTTAGCATGCATAAAATGGATGATGGACCAGGGAAGGAGGGTTAGAGGGAAGAACCAGACAACTAAGAGAACTAGGAAAGAATAGTGTCATGAAAATTCAGGGTATCTTCAGCACCCAGCACGGTATCTAGAACATAGAAAGTGGTTAATAAATATTTGCTGATCAATTAAAAGGAGAGAGTATTCAGAAGGAAATGGAAGTCAATGGTATTAAATGATGTGGAGAGGTCAAGAAGGATGAGGAGAAGAAGCCATTAAATTTAGTTATTAAGGGATCTCTGGTAAATTCATAGACCAGCGTTAGTTGGGTAATGAAGTTAGAAACCAAACTGAAAAGGGTTTAGAAGAGAGTAAGCAGAGGCACCAAAATGACTTTTTCAAAGAATTTGGCTGAGAAAAAGAAGAGAGGGGTAGAACAACAGCTAGTAGGAATGGCTGGATTTAGTGGAAGTTTTCTAAGGATGGGTAAAACCGGGGCACTTTTGTGGGCTGTAGGGAGCCAGTCAGTAGTAGGAAGAGACTGAAGAACTTATTCTAAACCTGTAAAATAAGAGCCTGACCAACCCCTTCTCATCATGAAAATGATTTCTGGAGTTCAGCTGTGTTTTAATTCAATGACTAACACAAGGTTTGACTTGGTTTAAACATAAGGTTTTATTTGGTCAGTTAATCATGAAAATGTGCCAAAGTAATTCCTTACAATACACCATATGCCAGTTTCTTAGACACAAGAGCGGCAATATATCACCACCAAGATCTTCATAAACTCTGTTATTCATTAGTCAGTGTTTTAAGTATTCTAAAAAACCACACGTTCTACAAATTTATCTCAACTTGTTGAGTTAATCTATCAAAATTGAAAATTCTAGGTCTCAATGCTGTTCAATTTAGATTCCTTGTTACACAAGGGATGACTGTCCAAATAATTCACACCATCAAAAGTGGATTTTAAAACCATCATTATTACTTAACAGTAAAATAATGAAATTTTAATTTTCTAGCTTTTAAAGATATTCTTCAAGGTATTTCAAATTTTTTTTAAAACTGACCAAAAAAATTACTACTAGAATGAGAAGCAGATTGACACAGATGGAATAAAGAGTAGTGTAATGGCAAGTATGCTAGATCTGGAGTCAGGAGACTGGGATTCAAATCTTGCCTCAAATATTTACCAGCTATCTATTACATTTTTTTTTCTGAGGCAGTTGGGGTTAAGTGACTTGCCTAGGGTCACCCAGCTAGTATGAGTCAAGTGTTTGGTCTGAGGCTGGATTTGAACTCAGGTCCTCCTGACTTCAGGACTGGTTCTCTATCCACTGCACCACCCAGCTGCCCCCCCCAGCTATCTATTGCCGGGGCAAGTCACTATAGCTTGGAACTTGTGTCCCTATCTGTAAAATAGGGATATTATTCATACTCCACAACTCACAAGGTTGTTCTGAGGAAAGCACTTCATAAACTTTGAAAAAAAAAGACTACACAAATGTGAATAATTAGAAACATGTAATATGTTGCAAATTCAGACAATAAAAACAGAAATCTAAGTATTTTATGATGGATAGAAGAGACACAATGTATCTCACATAGGTATCCAAAGAGGACATTAAAGGGAAATATTGTAAATTAACCTCAAAGTATAAATATGATCATGTAGGCAAAGGAGGGATTTGGGGAGGAGAACATTTACATAGAGCTTACTATGTCCCAGGTCTGGAGCTAAGTGCTTTATTTATTTTTTTAACAAATTATCTCATCAGATCCTCAAAACAACTCTGAAAGGTAGGTGCTATGGTCATCTCCATTTTTACAATTCAGGAAACTGAGGCAAATTTAACTGAGGTTAAGTGACTCGTCTGGAATCACACAGCTGGTTAAGTGTCTGAGGCCCTATTTGAACTCACATCTTCCTATCACCACCCGCTTCTATTTTTTTGCAAATGCAACTCCTATTTTTTAAAAAGTCATTTAGAAGAAATTTTCAGTACAGTTTTGCTCTTTACTTTAGTATTACCATTTTATAAGAAAGGTTATTATCTCCCTTAACTTCCATTGCAAACATAATTCTTAGGCATGGGCTCTGTTTTATGATGTAAACCAGGACTGACCAGATCAAGTTTCCTATGAAAAAGCTTCAAAAAGAAAACTTGTGAAGTAAAAAAGGTAACACTTAGAGTAACAAGCTGGTTCAATTGGTTTTCAGTTTAGGTTAAAGTTAAGATTTTTTTCTTTTTGGTGTTTTATATCTAAAAAATACATTTTAGCAATTAAAACTTTGAAACTAATTTTATGGAAAACTGACCCTTTGAGTCCTAGTATCAAAATCAAGATGGCAGTTTCCTGTTTGACCATTATTCTTTATACTTGTAATTTTTCCATTTATCATCTCCGCAGACTTCACAGTATTTTAAACTTATTAATTCATTATTTACAACACATTCACAGCAACCAATCTTTTTTTATGGTAGAGGAGTTACAGGTGAACCGACCTGGCAAAGGTCACCCAACAAGTCAATGACAAAGCTAGGAACAGGACCACGATTATGTTTTCTTACTTCCCAACTTTAAAAGGAAAAGAAAAATTAAATGGCTTCTTTTCAATATTTTCAATCACATTTTTGACCACAATCACAAACACCACCAAAAACATTTCAAACAACCGCTTTAGAAACACACTCAGCATACCCACCACATGACCCTGCAATACTGAAATGAAAATACTGTACTTGCACATAATGTATTCGCAGAAAAATCTGTATTCTTTCTTATTCGTTACGTGCATATTTTAAGATACTAATAAAAATTAGCATTTATCATATTTGCTTGTTCATAATTTTTCGAAGATTATATGTAGAGAGTCCACTATTTTCTCTCTGCTAAGAGCAAATTCAAAGATCTATTTCAAAAGGTCAACAAGTATTTAGTAACAAATGAAATCTCTACCAAGTTGTTTTCTTAAAGGGAGAACATGCTTGAGGACGATTTCATGGTCGAAAGAATTACTGTTGTTTGCCATGAAAAGGAAAGGACCAAATGGACTAGCTTTTTAGACCTTCACGATTTAGGTCTGACTTCTCTGACAAGATTAGCTACAATAGTCTCACGCTGAACCCATATCACCAGTTGAAATAATGGAAAAGTAAGATGACTCGGTCCCTCAGTTTAAAACTTAGCCTATCCACATTCTAGAAACGTGAAAGATACAATCTTTCATGAGCTTGCCCAGGGAAAGATTCACTCCCGTGCGTTCTAGCGCAGGAGACGGCGACAGCTGCCCTCCCTCGAACTCTCTCTCGGAGATACAAAGTATTAACACCGAGCCACAGGCTGACTCCGGGGAAGTGCGGCAGCAGGTGGATCAGCCCCCTCGCGAACCCCCACCGGGCCGAGCAGCTCCTGTCGGACTTGAGGCTTCAGAACCTTGCCGCTGCCCGGCGCGGGTCCCACCTGACTCGCCACCCTCCCCCAGTCGCCCCTCGTCCCCGTCCTCTCGTGGGGAGCCCCCCAGCTCGTAGCCCCCGCCCCCTCGCCCCTTTCCCAGGGACTCCGCAGGCCGGGCCCCATGCTTGTCACCCAACCTGACAGACTCGGGGCGGAGAAGGGTGGGGTGACGAGAGGCAGCCACCTGGGACGGGGGGGGGTGGCCTCCCCGGACGGGTTGAGGCTTCCTCTCCCCCGTCAGACCGCCCAGGTCCTCCCGCGCCACACGCCCCCTCCGTCTCCCTCCTTCCCCCAGCTCAGGAGCTGAGGTGAGAACTCTCAAGTGGAGTTGCCGGCCCACTCCGAAGTGAAGCGGCCACCGCCTCCTCCCCGGGTCGGGTCACGTCAGCCGGTCCCGTCCCGTTCCCTGCAGCCCGTGCCGATGTCGCTGCCCCTGCCCCCGCCCCCAGCGGGCCCCGGCGCCGCCCGGGTCGGTACCTTGCGGACCCCCTTGTAGATGTAGAAGTAGAGCTCCCGGCCCACATTGAAGCAGAGGCGGTCGCCGTTGCCAGACTGGTCGTTAAGGTTGACGAAGGAGACGCGCACGGGGTTGGACCCCTGCGAGTTGAAGGGCACCCGGTTGGGCCGACTGTACTCCGAATGCGGCAGCAGCTTGTAAAGACCTTCCCGGGTGGTGAACTGGGTCTTAATCTCGTTCATCTCCTTCCCTCCTCCCTCCGTCGCCATCTTGGAAAGCAGCGTTCATCCTGCCCCAAGTGCCCGGATCACACCCACTGCGCAGGCGCCGTCCCTAGCTTTCCCAGAGGCCACCCCCTCCCCCTCCTCTTTCACCCCGCCTTCCTTCTCACCCTTCCACTCGGGTCTCTCCCAACCGAGTGCAGCGGCGACGGGAAGGAGGGAGGGCTTGTTTACAGTTTGTTTGCGCAGGCGCGACCACCTCCTGGGCTCAACTAGATATCCACTGGCAGTCCCAGGCTCAGTCGCAGACTCCGGCCCCTGCATCTGGGTCCTAGAGAGCCATTGCGACCGCCGCCGGCTAGGTGAGGGGCGCGGGGGGGGGCCGAGTCCTCCATGGTAGGCCGTCCCAGGGTGTGGGAACCGCCGAGGTCACCTCAGAGCGAGCCAGGCCGGGCTGAGGGGAAAGGGGGCGGGGGGCGGGGTCCCGTGCCTGCGAGGACGGAAGCCGTGAGGGGGCAGGAGCGAGGGAGGTCGCCTGAGCCCGGCCCTTGACTGCCCAGGAGGGGACCGGGAGCCTGGGGGTGCTTCTTGGCTGCCCCGTGTAGAGAGGCGAGCGCCCTGGATTTGGAGTCAAGAACCCTGGGGTGCAGCTCCTGGACTGCGCAGTACTTGGGTGACCTTTCGACCCAGTCACTTTTCAGTCTGGGTCAGGTGAGATGCTCCCTGAGGGAAGACACCTCGGCCACCTCTTGGTCCAGCCCCCTTAGCTTAATTCCAAGCCTTTAAAACATTTTTTTTCCCTCTGGGCTGGACGTGCTCCGATTTTATTGCTGTAAAGAATTCCTGATGAGGACACTCCCTCTACCCCTATGCGAATCAGCAATTGTTCTGTAACTTATTAAATAGTTGCCTGTGGCACTGTCAGTTTAAATGACTTGGCAGGGTCACACAACTAGTAGGGGTCAGAGAGGGACTTAAGCCCAGATCTTTTTTTACCATGTTTCGTTTCTTGCTTTTCTATATGCTTGGCATATAGAAGGTGCTTAATAAATGCTTGTTGCTTGCTAATTGCCTTTCAGCCTATACATTCTATTAATAGAAGTGTCTGATAAAAAGAGCTGGCATTTATGTCGATCTTTAAGGCTTGCAAAGTGATTTACATATATTATCTCATTCTCACAACCCTGGGAGATAGGTGCCATCTTATCCCCATTTTACAGATGGGGAAACTGAAGCAGAGATTGTGACCTCCTTAAAGTCATGCAGCTAGTAAGTGTTTGAGATAGGATTTGGACTGAGATTTTCCTGACTCCATATCCAGGTCTCTAACCATTACACATCTAGTTTCCTCAAGTCTTCCTCTACAACAGGGGTTTTTTGTGTGATAGTCCCCCTTGGCAGCCTGATGACACCTATGGACCCCTTCTCAGAATATTTTTTAGTGCATAAAATAAAATACATAAGATAATAAAGGAAACCAATTATATTGAAATACAGTTATCAAAACAATTTTTTTTAAAAGAAAAAAATGTGTTTGGGCCCCAAGGTAAGAATCTCTGGGAAAGAGGGAAATGACAATCCTGTCATCCCTTGGTCAAATACCTGGAATACAGTGTTTGTGAACCCTCATAAGTGTTTGGACACTATATTTGAGGAAAAAACATTGAAAAGCTGGCTCTTGTCTTGAAATGGCCAAGTAAAATGGGAAGGGAACTGCAAATTATGTTAGAGGAACTGTGGTTGGACCAATTAAGGATACATAGACTGGAGACAATTTTAGCTATTTAATGGGGAAGAGCTGGCATTTGGGAAATTTACTCAGTGGTTTCTTTAAATCACCCCAAACTGCTCCCCCAAACAAAGGCCCATCTCTTTAACATAAACATTTTGGCTGTGAGGCATGAAATATCATTCTGAAGAATTAAAGTTGAAGGTCATCTCAAGGGATACTTTTGGTGGTCCTAAATAGGATACATATTACCACTGAGAACTGGCATAAATTTTATTGGAGAAATGTATAACTATAAAAGTGTGTAGACAAATCACCTAGCAAGAACAAAGAATTTAGGGGAAAACATACTCTGCCTGCCTCCCAGCTTCATTGGTTGGACTGTCTGAAGGATTTGGTTGAGAATCATTCAGTTGACAGTTTTGCCTTCTACCTGAAAGTTGATATGACTTGTTAACACGTTAGAGACTTCTTAACGCATTAGAGAAAGGTGAAAAAATGAACTGGGTGCTCAGTTCCTGAAGGCTTTATTATTACCCTAGATTAATAGTATTCACTTGAATTAAATAAACCTCTAAATAAACCATTAAATCGTCTAATAGTTGTTCATCATTAGTAAGGAGAGATACTTTTATTTGTAGAGGAATGTATATAACTATAACCATGGATGTTGTCAATCAAATATAAAAAGTGATTTCCATTAGAGACACTGACAGTGAATAGAAAGCAGGCCTTGGAGTCCAGAAGATCTGGATTCAACTTTGATATAGGTTGGCTTTGTGACCCTAGACAAGTTACTACATGTTTCCATGCTGTCTCCTCCATAAGATTGTGAGCTCCTTGAGAGTAGGGACTATCTTTTGCCTTTCTTTAAATCCCCAGCACTTCGCACAGTTCTTGGAACATAGTAGGTTTTTAATAAACGCTTGATAACTTGGACTTAACTTCTCAGTACACCAGGCACCTAAGCCTATAAGCTGCCAAGCAGTTACCTATCTATAGTCAATCAATAAGTATTTATTAAATGCTTACTCTGCCAGGACTGAAGTGGATGCTGGAAATACAAAGACATAAATAAAATAGTCCTGATTCTTAAGGAGCTTACATTCTCTATAAGGGACATAAGGTATACATATAATATATACAAAATAAATACAAGGTAATTTTGAAGAAAAAGCACCAGTGGCTGTGGGAATCAGGAACGGCTTCATATGGTGGTATTTGAGTTGATCTATTCTAAGAGGAAAGAGGTGAGCAGCGAGTGCATTCCAGGAATGCAGGTGTGGAACAGCCCATGGGAAAGTACAGAGTCAGAAGATGAAATGTTGTATTTGGGCAAAAGAGCTCAAAGCAAGGCCAATTTCACTGGACTATAGAGTACACAGAGCTCCCTTTCATATATATATTAGTGTATAATAAGGCTGGAAAAGTAGATTGGAGGCAGGTTGTGAAGCATTTTAAACACAAAACAGAGCAATTTATTTTTTAGCCTGGGACAGTAGGAAGCTACTAGAGTTTATTGAGCAAGGAAATAACGTAGTCATACCTTACTTCAGTAATGTCACTTTAACAGTTGTGTGAAAGAGCAAGGAGACCAATTTAAAATGCAATAGTCTAAGTGAATGGTGATGAGGCCCTAAACTAGGGTGGTTGTGGAGTGGAAAGAAGGAGATGAATGGGAGAGATGGAGAGATAGAATTGACAAGACTTGGCCACTCATTAGATATGTGGGGTGAGGAAGAGTGAGGAGGCAGAGATGACTCAGAGGTTGCAAATGCTTGTGACTGGAAGTATGGTAGTACGTTCAACAGAAATAGAGGTTTGAAAGAGCGGGTTTGGTGCAGGGAGGAGATAATGACTTCTGAATTTGAGAGGCCTGTAGATATCCACTTGGAAAAATATGCAAAAACCTGTTGATGGTGCAGGTCTGGAGTTGAGGAGACTATGTAGCTAGATACATACATCTAGGAATCATCTGTGTAGACATAAGAATTGAACCAACGGGAGATGATGAGTTCTCAGAGATTATAGATTGAGAAATGAAGAGAGCCCAGTACAGTCTTGGAATATACCCAGAGTTAAGGGGCTAAGGGAATGATGATCCAGCAAAGAATGAAAAGTAGTAGTCCGATAAGAGAACCAAGAGAGAGTAGTGTCACAAAAATAGAGAGGAAAAAGTGTGTATGAGGAGGGAATGGTCAGCATTGTCACGTGCAGCAGACAGGTCCAGAAGGATGGCAGTTAAAAACAAGGCCATCTGATTTGTTGATTAAGAAATCACTGTTAACTTTAGATGGAACAGTTTCAGTTGAAAGGAAGTTGTGTTTTGTTTTTTCCAAGAAAGAATACTATATACCTATTTTATTTATAAGTAAGATTGATTATAAGTAGTCATTTCAACATTTGCAAATACAGTCCTTTATTCTTTTAGATTTTTTTGAATGATTTTGTAGTGTTATTAACATTTTTTTTAGCTAGTTTTCTTGGAATTTGTTACTGAGCACTTTTGAAAGATTCAAGTAGTACAGAATGGAAGAAAATGCCAGTAGTTGTTGGAAAATCTTTATTTGAAAAGCTAGTTTGAAGTGAAGTGAGCAGAACCAGGAGAACATTGTACATGGTAACAGCAATATTGTAAGCATGATAAACTATAAAATACTTAGCTGCTTTGATCAAGACAATTCTCCAAGACAATTCCAAAGGACCCATAATGAAAAATATTATGCACCTCCAGAGAGAGAACTGATGAACTCTGAATACAGATTGAAACACACTTTTTTTTAAACTTTTTTTTTAGCTTTTTTGTGTTTTCTTTTGCAACATGGATCATATGGAAATATGTTTTACATGACTTCCTATGTATAATCAATATCATATTGTTTGATTATAGAAGGTATTTTTTACAGAGTTTCCTACTTTGATGAAATCACAGGTCAAGGTTTAAAAAAATCCATTAATATATAAATTCATATCTGCATTTCTTTTGTAACTTTGGAATTAGTAAATTTCCAGAGTAAAGGCACTTGGAAACAAATTCAGTTAGAATTCCCATGGGAAAAGAATGGTTTTATATGATTAGATAAAGTGGACCTTGAAGAGCTTACCTATGTACAGAACACAGTTATAGTTACAGGGAAAATACAAAAGTAAAAAATAAATGGCCTTTGCCCTCATGAAGCTTATAATTTAATAAGATGAATGTGATGACAGTTGTAATGAAAAAATGGAACATCACTTCATAGCTGCAGTACAAAGATAGTGTTATGCTATGAATGCCTTCTCTTTATGATTTTATGAGCAAATATTATGAGGGATGTGATGTGATTTCTAGAAAGCCCAAAGCATAAACACCTTGGCATAATCCAAAGTAAATACGTGTCGGTGAAAATTATAGAATTGTATCATTTGCACAGCATTTGACCAATATCCTGTGGATATTACAAGAAAAACACTAAAGTAAAATCCTATTTGCAAAATCAAGGGATTGGAATAAATGATCTTTAAGGTTCATTCCAGCTCCAAAATCCTATGATCCTCTGAATCAGAGTCCTCAGGTAGCTAGAATTTTTTATTACTCTGTTTTAGTTTTAGAAAAAAGACATGACAACAAAACAAGTAAATTCTTAGCACTTA